ACAAAGAATTGTTCTGTTGCATAGAGTTGGAACATTTTCTATAGAAATGTGTTGGCCAAAGATCTCGTCAACCAAATTACTGTCTAACATACAGGAGCGAGGTAATTCGATTTCATCATCTTCGTTGCCAAGTTTAATAAGCCACTTTGAGAACTCTTCTTCACGTGGTCCTGTTCTCATGTTCTGGTGTAGATGCATGACTCTGAAGTAAGACCAAAGGTTGGAACTTTTGAGACTCGCTGCAGTTAATTCTGATCTGTTTGCAAATCGAATGACTGGAAGAACTTGTCGAAAATCTCCATCAAGTATCATAATTTTTCCTCCAAAAGGTGCATCTATGTTCATTATATCTCTCAACAAAATATCAACTGCATTGAGAGCATAAGATGGAGCCATTGGTGCTTCGTCCCAGATAAAAACTTGAGTCTTTCTAATCTCTTCAGCTTCCTTACTATTTGATCGAATACCGGATGTAGATGTTTTCAAGATAGGTACAGGAAGTCTGAAACGACTATGCACAGTTCTTCCTTCAGGTAATAAACTTGCAGCAATTCCTGTCCATGCAACTGTCATAACATGGACTCCTTTTCCCATGAATAAATGGTACAGGGTGTTATAGAGATAGTTTTTTCCTATACCTCCAGGACCATCAATAAAGAAACATGAGCCAGCAGCGGTGGTTGATTGTTTACGATGACTTGCAAGAATTGCATCCGCTGCTGAACGTTGATCTTGGTTGAACATTGCATACATTTCTTGTCCTATTCGAAGTTCTTCTTCCGTGTTGATAATTTTTGATTCAAATGAATAAGGAACAGATGCTGGTGATGGTATACCAGAATCACTGCAACTTCGACCTTGTTCTTTCATCTTTTCATCGATTACATAAAATGCCATTGCTGTTTCGGCATCGATATCACGCATGAAGTCCTCGGCCATATGTACTTTAAACGAATTACAGAGATCTATCGGTTTTGTTACAGTATAGAAATATCATACAGAAAAGTGTTCTTAGTTATTCTGGCATCTGGAAGATAACCGCTTCAGCCATACATCTTGCATATTCAGTATCATCACGTAATAGGCCTCGTCTTTATGTGATGTTTCAACTGCAAGCTCCTTACCAGTAGCGTCGAAATCCGCGATATCTTTCTGGTCACGTCCTGATAATAGTGACTTTTCACATTCGTAATCCACAGTAGAAGCTTTTCATTGCAGGTCAGCATTGATATTATGAAAATGGTCAGTTTGCAATTATGACGGGCCTATTTATACTCTTTTGCAAGCCATCGTAGAACCTTCGAGAACATTGTGGATCATGCATGGCCTGATATCATCCAAAATTCTACAATGTTCTAGAAAACCCCGATCAGTGCCAGATCACTACAGTAGGTCATAGAAAATTTCAGATGGCTCTGTAGCATTCAGCAAAAGCCTACACATTTCTAGAACTTTCTAGAAACACAGAAGCAACCGACTTGACCTTTATTCCCATAATTTTCACATCGATCCTGGCGTCCTCTATCATTCTCATGGGTTTTACGTTGACTGTGGCGCCGACTATCTTAGACAGACTACAGCGCCATCTACTTACGTCACATATCATTCGCGTATTTTTATCGAATCAGACGGGTGACGGACACACAGACAGACACTGAACATTATATTGGTTGTTTCCCGCTAGCCGTCAAAAATAGCCGTCAATTGACGGCTAGCAGGAATTTTGAAAAAGGCTAGCCGTCAGATCCAAAACTATGTAAAAATGACAAAATGGCTGCCGAAATAAAGAGATT